GGAAGTCCCTGCAACAGGGACAATGTACAGCCATCTATAGCCTATTTTCTTTGCGTTCTCAACGTAGGGGGCACCCCAAGATACATAGGAATGATAGGGAATCATGGGGTTCCCCCTTAGAGATCCTATAGTTGTCTTTCAATAACCTCCCATACAAGATTTTCCTGATGGCTCAGGTGGCCGTGGAGCCGGAATCCGAGAAGTTTGCTGACCCCTCAGAAAGCTTGGGTTAGAGCAGGCATGATACAGGAAATGTGTTTGCACTGTGTTTTCTGTATAACTTGTATTTCTAGGCTTTGTACAGGGTATTCGGGGGCGGGCAAGTAGGTCTCTTTCACATGGTTGTCATCCAGTGGCGCGATTGCAGGCTTTGTCGCCCACCGCGGACTTGGGGGAATTGCGTGAGCGGGGTGCCTGGCTTCTGTGGTGCTTGGTGAGGGTAGTAGGGCTAGGGTCTGCCAGCTGGGCTGCAGTCCGTCTGCACATAATGCTGGTATCCGAGCAGGGGCGACTGCACACCGTGGCTGGAAATGCTGCGATTAAAGTAAGGCTACAAGATTCAGTCACAGCTTTGGCTTTGCCAGGTTTGTGAGATGCGAGTCACTGGAGCGCATGCAGCTGTGCATGCGGTTGCAGAAGCAGCAGGACAGCCAAGTGTCAAGCAAACTACTCAAGAAGCAGTGCAGTTGTGTCATTTGGGACCAGATGCGTTGTCGCTATTGGCTGTCGAGGAGATGTTGGAGCAGCTGTCAGAGGGTGTCGTGTGGGAGCCTCAAGAGTTCCTGGACAATGCTGGCTTGGCTGCTGTGTCTTGCATGTTTTGCGGGTTGCATGTTCTGCAGAGGCCTTTGAAGAATGATGCAGCGGACCTAAAACCCGTGATGCGCATGCAATACGGATTATTGTGATCGGTGCTGCTATATGCAGGTCACTGGACACGGCAACGGCTCGTTGAAGTATTCTGAAGAGCTGATTGCTGTCGCTGAAGGCGCGTGTTTTGCTCTGAGTGTGCTGTGCGCTGGGGGTAGCATGTGCAGCACCCTCAAACAGGTCCGTGGCACAAGCAGATGTCCTTGGAGGTGCTGACTTGAGCCGCCAGCCCACTTTCCTGCAGCGTGTGAGCTGCAGGTGGATGCTTTGAAGCTCTCAATGCAGCAGCTTACACAGGATGTCAAGGAGTTGCAGGACTGTTGCATTGCTCCAAGTTCATGTCCGAGCGACTTTCGGACATAGGCGTGACATGTTTGCGCCAGGAATGCTTCGATGTCAGGCGCCACATTTCGCAACACGCACGCCGCGCATTCCATGCTGGCTTTGATGTGACGATGCGCCATCGCAAACGCAGGCCACGCACGGGCAGCCTCGTGTCTGGCACCAAGATATTCCCTTCGCGCGCAACGCATGTGTGACAATTCAGCATGTGCTTTCACAATTGCCACCGCACCAAAGCACCATCAGCTGACACTTTGAGCCTGTTGCTCTGGCCAACCTTGGACATGAACTGAGGCTCAAGTCTGGCGGATGCCAGGTCGGCAGCTGCTTCTCATCATCCCCCGATGTGCAGTGGATCTGTGAGGATTTCAGATTTCAACTGAATCAGCCCCCATGTCTATGACGTCAGGGTGTCTCAGATTTAGGATCGCCTCCAAACTCATTCGGGTTGGAATCGTTTGAGGACAACGTGCATCCGCATCATGGAGATTCTCTCAGGGAGTAAAATTCCATTCAAAATTGTTGCGGAATACACGATGCAGGCTGTGGATGAGTTTGTGGATGATCCCCGTTTCGTGTGCACCTCAAGTCTGCTTCAAGCTTTTGAACCTGGAAGCCAGAAGCAAATGCAGCTACAGCTTTGCAGATCAATAGTCTCCAGGAAGGTCCCCAGGACAAGTGTGGACTGCAGAATTCCGCTAAGTTCAGTAGCACCTTCTGACTTGGCCGTTGCTTTTTTTTGTCCTTGGCTTCACCCGTATCAGCAAATCTGATATCCCATGTCCACCACCGCCGCCGCCACTGAACGACCAACTTTAGCAGCGCAGCCGCCACCGCTGCTGCGGCTGCTAGCCAGTGTCAGAATCGTTGTCATCGCCATCATCACTAGTACAGTTACAAGTACAATTACAAGCAGGATTCTCTTGTCGTAGAGCTACTGAGGCGCCAAGCGAGCTGGATCGCTCCCCCTACAAGGCAGCTTCTCACACTGCACTAATTGTACTGATGGCTTCGCCATGCTTGCCAAGCCGCCGCCCCATCTGCAGTATGATTCTGAAGCGAGCTGGAGGGACCGGTATCAAGTTCAAACCTGTGGCACTGATGACGGTAAGGGCTGACCCGAGATGAGTGCAGTATTTCATGGGGTATACGGGGGGGGGGGCCATCATTTCGAGAAATGCTCACGTGCAGTCACGTGCAGTTGCTTTGCAGGCATCAAGCGAGGCGGAGGAATCCTTTGGTGCTGGGGCCTCAGAGACAGGGTGTGAAAAGTTCGGGGTTCAAGGATCACCAACCCCGAAGTAAGACTCCTGTGGCCCCGTATGATCCCCACAACATCCTCGTAGAATCCGAGTAGCACTCAAAATCCTGAGTGCTGAACATACCCACAAGCTGTTGACACCATATCATACGACCTGAAAGCATCCTTCCAGGGCGGCCTGAACTTTGAACCCGCCCTGGACCTGCAATGGCTGGAGGAGCGTTTTGAGGCTGGGGGCGGATGGGGGCGGGCTGTAAGCTCCTCCGTGCAGAGTCTGTAGCCTTAGCCAGTCCCAAGCACAATTTGACAGATGCACTCTTTCTGGGGCATGCGTGCCTCTAAACTTTGCATCTTTCTGTCTGTGTGCCCTTCAGGGCGCATTCCTCGGTCGCAGGATGCGCAGAACCAGTGTGCTGCGGACCTCACCAGCGTTGAGCAGCGGCTCCTCGAGGAGTTCTCGAATCTGAAGGCTCTACTCCTCCCGGTTTGCTGCTTGTTTTGTTACCAAAGGTATTTCATGCTACCGTTGGCATCAATGCTTTTGGTAGTAGTGCTTCTCTCACTGCTATTGTCATCCTGCATGCGACAGCGGATAACATAATTTGAGCATTTGCACCCGCGTCCCCGCACCCAGGGCTTTGTGGATGTGCAGACCTCAGCATCTGCGGTTTCGGCAATAGGAAAGCCTTTTTGCGATGGCGCCAAGCTTTCGACTTTAAGCGATTTTTTGAACCTCCGTTGGGTGCAGTGGATACTGAGTGGGCTTGTGGGGGAATTCAGTCACACAGTAAACGAACCCGAGACGATCGCAGAGCCCTTTGCCAGAAGCTCCGATTCCCGTTGCACATAGGCTGCAATCGTCGCCATGGTGAGCCGCATGAGCACCCTTGAGCGCCTTGGGCATGTGGACTGCAAGATGCCAGCATTGCAAGTCAGGTCAATCAGTACTCTTATGACTTCAAACTTCCAAGCGCGCCGCAATGCAGCTATTGATCATGATGGTATATGATGGCCATCCATTGCTTGTTTTGGAAGTGCTGGTGCTTTGGAAATAATGCTTCTGGTTCTCCGTGCTGTTGTTGCTCTTGCTTGCTGTTGCTGACTGTTGATCGCACCACGTCTGCCCTTGGGCGGCAGGAAATAAAGGCTGAGTGCAGCAGCACTCCAGAGTAGAAGCCGATCACCGATGAGGCCCCTCAAATATCAACATCAGCAACTACTCCTCCCTAATCTCCAAAGCACCTGTGAGCTATGACTTGCAGACGGCCTCCCACTGAATCGCAAAAGGTCCTCATCAAGCCCTATTCGCCAGGATCTTTGTCAAGGGCGAAGGTGGCCTGTCTGAGAAGATGGAGAATGGCCTAAACAAGGCAGGGCCCGGGACACCGCGACATGACTCGGCCTTCTGATGGGAGGCTTCTTGAGCCTTTCCTCAAGTGAATGTTAGTTGGTATTCGTGTAATTGGGATGACTCATTTCGGGCGTATGTGGCAGTACCCGAAGGGGAGTCTCAAGAGACAACAACGGTTCCTCCTCGAAGAGTAAGCCTTTTGCGTCAGAAGCATTTTAGCTCCAAGGCTTGACCATGGGTAAGGCTTGGCACGATGTGGCGGATCCCCACTGGCAGGAACAAGGATGTTGAAGTATATGCAATTCGGCAGTCATGCGTTTGCAAGCACAAAAAAATCAGGTCAGGCAAGGACACAGACCGCCAGAATCGCCAGAAATATTGAATCGGACCATGTCAGCATGCAAGCCTGAATCATCCACTCTTTTTGTCATGTTCTTGCTGTGTAGTCATGACGGGGTGATGAGTGGACTTCCGTGCATCCTCCGTCCCAGGTGACTGATGACGTGGCCAGCAGTGCTAAAAGGCCAGTCTGCATGCCTTGAACTTTTGCTGTCACAGTTGTGGCTGCTTCTGTTCTTTGGATCTCAAAGGATTACCATGATTTACGCAGAGCTGAGATTGCAAGCTTTGGCTTTTGGTTGAAGATTTCGGGGACAGGGTCTTTCTCACTGCAACGGAGTCTTGATACTTTTGATGACGTCAATCATTTTGTCACTGGGGCCTCGTACTGCATGTATCTGAGGATTAGCATGCTGCGGGCTATGCGTAGATGCTCCAGCACTTGATTGTCAACCTCAACCATGGAAATGGCTATTCCTTCCTTTGTCCTCTCAGGTAACAGAGAGTCTACTATCGGCGGAGGTATTCCAAAATCCTTACACCTGCATGCCCGCGACGCTCCCATGCCGCTCCAATGCCAGGCTTCAGGGATGTCAGGATGAAGTCTCCGACCTCACCGACAGGCATTTGCTGATGTGAATCAGGTTCCGCATGTTCCGGTCAGTATATGAACTTCCCCATACACACGCAGCAAAATGGAAGGTCTATATCTACTCTGAAGGTAGGCTCCCAGATGCCGTGGGATGTATTGTGGGTTGAGGGAAGCTCCATCTTGCCGGTGTGCCGTGTATGTTCAAGCAACCATCCTGTAGATCCTCTGACCCAAGATCGTCCAAGATGTTGCCGTCCCAGCAGAGTTGGAGTTACGAGCCGGAGGAGTCGACTCCGATGCCAGTGATGGCATTGTGCATGGTCCCCGCGGATCAGATGCAGATGCCTTTTGCCCAGAACGTGGGCTTCCACCCAGTCCTTGCGAATCCGACCACCAACTGGTGGCAGCAGCTGCCAGTGCAGCAAATGTCGCAGGTGACACAGCCGATGGCGGTACAGCACGTGCTGCAGGCAGCACCGATGCCGCTGCTGCAACCTATGCAGCCCATGCAGCAGATGCCACAGCCTGTGCAGCAGCTGGTTTTGCAGCAGCTGCCTGTGCAGCAGCTGCCTCTGCAGGTAGTGTATGAACAGCAGCAGCAGCAGCAGCAGCAGCATCAGTCGCTGCCGCCAAGGCTACAAACGTTGTGTCCAGCCTCGGAAGTTCCGTTGGATGAGAGCTGGGGCTACGCATGCACGCCCGAGCAGTGCTGCCAGGCTCAAGGCTCCGACGCATCCGTGGCAGAGGTTTCCACAGCCTCGTCGGAGGCATCCCCACGGGTCGAAAAGGCTGAAGACAAATTCCAAAGCCCTGCCCATGCCCAGACCTCGGCCTCGGCGGCCAGGCGTCTTCGCCGAAAGCGCGCCGCAGAGCGCAAGGCCAAGGCGGGCGCTGATGATCTGGCTCGCGACTTTGAGTCCAGACGCTTTCGCTTGGATGATCTCAAGCACCATGTGGAGCAGGGCTCTGACGTGCACCAGTTGATAGGCCACGTCTGGCCGTTGTCTCAGGACAAGGAAGGCTGCCGTTTGGTGCAAATGGCCCTGGAGAAGGCTGGTCGTGAGACGGCCACCATGGCATTGGAGCTGCGCGGCCACATCCTGGAAGCCGTCAAGCATCCCCATGCAAACTACGTTGTCCAGAAGGCTATTGCGCAGCTCTCCGTGGGAAGCTCCGCCTTCATCGTGCAGGAGATCCATGGTTCTGCCGCGATTGTGGCGAAAAACCGCATGGGCTGCCGCACATTGTGCCGCCTTCTGGAGTTCTGCAGCACCAGCCCTCAGGTTGGCAACCTCATGGACGAGCTGATTCCGGAATTGTCGGACCTGTGTTGCCACTCCTTTGCACATCACGTTATCCAGTCGGTCCTGGAGCATGGTGAGGAGCGGCACAGGCACTTGATTGTCCAGACCCTGCTTGCAGATGTTATGAGCTTCGCCATGCACAAGAACTCCAGCTACCTAATGGAGAAGGCTCTCTCTAACTGCAGCGCCGAGGATCAGGTAGCCATGATCCACGCCTTAAACCTCAAGCGCCTGCTTGAGTTGGCGAAGACTCAGTACGGCCGCCATGTGGCAAAGACTGTGCTGCAGGATCGGCGCTGGTATGCGGCCTCGGAGTTCGAGCAGCTCATCCAAGCCTGGAAAACTGAGCTTGCAGCAGACCGCTTTGGCTTCCTGTTCCTCAAGGACATGGACAAGTCCTCGCACGAGTGAGCTGGAGTCAAGGTGTGCCTAGTGAATTCAAGTTCTGATCTCCTGCCCGTTGTCGTCCATGCGCTGACTTGTACAGTAACGAGCGAGAAAATGGCCTCCGAATCTTGCACGATGCCCTTCAGATCAGGGCTGTTATTGTTGGAGGACCCTAGTTGTGGGAAACTAGTACGAATTCACATGCTCAAGTTGCCACACAGCTTGGCTCCTCCTGGAGATTAAGGGCAAGTAGGCAGGCCGCATGATGAAAAATAATGAAAGGATTCTGTCGGAATCAATTTTGGGTTTCTGACATTAGCTGTCTCGGCCGGCTTGCTCAAGGGTTGACCCACGTTTTACACACTTTGCGCATGCAGTCTCGTGTAGTCCATGTACGGTCCCTGTTATGGATCAAAGTAGGATAGCATTTCGCAGGGTATGTCTCGGACGATCTCAGACGTTTTATATGCAGTCGTGAGAAAGCATTGGGCAGGGTCAAGGGAAGAAGGGTTCTGGACATGTCTTTGCCGTGCTGCTGCCAGCCTCCATTTCACCATGCTGGGAGCTAGCGTAATGATAAATGTCGAAAACAGTTCTTGTTCTACATGCAATCTCTGCACTTTTTGTGCAGTATGCGGAATCTGTGCCTGAAACAGGGAAAGAACCATACTGGTATTCAGGCCGTATGTTGGCAATTTGTGGCTGAGGTAGTCTAACAATCGCTCTCTTTGCTGTAGCAATCTGTGAGAAATCTGCCGGAGCACAGGCTGAAAGCTTTGGAGAAGCGCCGGGATCTCAGCATCTATGGTCGTTTATGAGATCCAAACTTCAGGGCCGTGCCTTGAAGTTGTACTCTTTGAACTTTTCATTCAGCGGTGGGCTTGGGGGCTTGGGGCATTAAGGACAACGGACCCAATTTGCAAACACTCGAAGCCCTTCAGCCCTGGACCCAAAGCGCTAAAAGATTCATACCTAATCCCTCGTTCAGAAGGATCCGCTTGCCTTCTGCGCCGGGAATTTCTGGGTGCTTCGATTCAGTTGGAGTCTTGAAAAGTTTTTCTAGTTGTATACTGGGGAGCTTGAACGGGTAATGGCCATAACTACTTGGACATCAAATGGACATGCGGATTTCTTCATGAAAGGTTCTCGACATGGTCCCCACGCATTTACATATTCATATGCCCTCTGGCCACCCCCAAACTCTCTCCCTGGTTTCCGTATCCCTGAAAAACCTCCTCATAATACAGGCATGGAGCGGCCGGGCAACCTTGTTGGCTACAGCCAGGGCCCAGACTAAAGGGACTGGCTTTAATTTGTGAATCCGCTTTGCTTTGGTCTGTGAGGGCTTCCGGGCGAGGCGTGAAGTTGGGACAGGTTCGTGTAGCAGCCTGAAGATGTTTGTTAGCTGGCAAGATGTTTTGTGTCACGTCGCACACGGCACAGAAGCTTCTCAAACAGGCATCAGGCTTCTTCACTGCCCCTTTCCTCAACATCATTCTTTCTTAGCTTAGATAGTGTGGGACTTATGCAAAGCAAAAGAATCCGCTTCAGTGCGTCCTGATTCAGACGGCGGTGGTTCGCCGTTTCGTTTGACTCCGCAAGCTTTTGAGTTTTCCTTGTGTCATGACTGGTACGACATTCGAGTCCTCAGCCACTGAAGGTCCTGAGCAAGAAGAGTCGCAAGATGTCGCATACCAGTCTATCCTTTCATGCTGCGACACCGTGGTACTCGTAGCTCCCAGGCCATTCCTAGGCAAAGTGAGGCTGACAGGTTTCCGAATCAATGGTTCTGAGCCTGGTCGGGGCGCAGCAGAACAGGAGCTCCAATTCGAACATACAGGCCTGACAGGGATTCTTCACAAAGAGAACGCAGTGTTCAAGAGACTAGACTGGATTTCTTTTGCATGCGCGTCGGATTTTTGTGCGAGAAAGCTTCCTTGTCTTGGGGTACGCCGCAAATGATGAGGCCCTGCACTGGGGTACCGCAGCCCTGCAGACCTACGACGAAGCCCGGTCTGTTACTTCAGATCGGTTACTTTAGAGATTAAAAGGAATGGGATGTCTCCAGATTATGGATCCTTGCTTGCGAGTGGGCGTATACTAAGGATCTGTGTGATGGGTAGGCGGCATGTTTTTTTGTTGTTAAAGGTCTGCCTGGGCACCCGCCTTAGCATGAATGATTTCGGATTTTGTGCCTTTCTATTTGCAGGCAAATTTGTCTGAGGTTTAACGCCATGTGAGCTACTGTCAATGTGAGCCTGACTAGGACTAAGGGACCATTAAGGGTGGACATAGCTGTCCCTATCGTAGTTTAGAAAGTTTAGAAGGATCCCAAGTACAGTCCCTAATAAGGAGCCCATGGGTTATCTGGGTAAGATGAACTGTAGGTCATGTAAGATTGAGCAGAATCTTTTGCTGCAGCTTTTTGTTTTGGGCAGCTTTGCCAAAGTCACAAGTTGTGAATGTGGCTGAGGAGCAACGATTCCCAGACGGTAGGGTCAACACAAGTGTAATTGACGGGATCGGCCTAAAAGCCCCGATTTTTCTGTGCACCTTGAAACCTCAGACCAAACACTTTCATAGGGCGGACTGGCACGAACCTAGAACAAAGCATCATTGAAGCTGGTCTTTCAAACTCTTGCAGCCCAGGGCCCTGGTTTGCACTAGGAGGAGTGGACTTGCATGCTCAAACAGCATGCAAACATGCAGCGGGCCAATTTCTGAAGCATTTGGCGCTGTCCAAGGAAGTGGTGAGAGCAATGACTCGGCTGGGGCCCAAGAGTCTCAGGATTTCCAATGAGGGAAGGGATCCCCGACATTTTCCAGAATAATTCACAGGATAGCGCCTAGAATCTAATCAGCGCCTGTGCAACTTGGGGGAGCATGGACCTTCACCACTGGCTTGAAAAAAATCAGTGATCAAGCTCTCAACAACTAGTTCCAAGCTTTTGGATAAAAAGAATGGTCCCGCTTTGCACGAAGATGTGCAGCTTGTTTCTGGAGAGCACGTAGGTCTGCATTGGCAGTTTTTGAGACGTTTCCTCATTTTTGGGAGAGTGCCGTCCTGGGGCAAGGGGCATTGCAAGCCACCCTCGTTGCCGCAATGACTGCTAGTACTTTCCTACTCCTCCTACAGCCGTGCTACTAGTGTTCCTCCTTGGCCATGCCTGCGGCCCGTATGAGAATACCATGCGAATTTTTCAGCTGGTACATAGTCTTTGCATGAAGTCCAAACATACTCACTCCCCAAAAAATGGAGCATGATCTTGTGGATACCTGAAGCTCTAGGTAAAAAGCTCTGCCTTGGTGGAGAAGAACCCCACTCCGGAAGTGGTGGCGCGCTCAGTAGCTTTGTGGTCTGGGGGGTTGCGGTGGTAACGATCCTGGTTTTACAGCTCTTGGGTTTAGAGCTTGTGTTGGGAGGTTTCAGGGGCTGGGCGCTGGAGGGCCTTAGGGTTTCTAACTTGGGGACTTCAGAAGGGTTTGAAAGATCTGTGGGGTTCCGGGTTTTGGGCACCCCCGGAGGCTTGGAAGTACCTTCCTGTCTGGAATTGGGCGCTGGATTCTACCTGCAGCAATGGCATCTCTCCAAACTTTCTTGCTTCACTGAAAGCAAAGGTCAGTCCTGTTCTGAATCTAGAGCATAGAGCAGATTTACTTTGCCGTTTTCATGGTTCCATCTCGAATGGACCTACATCATTAGATTGTTCACTTTTCCGGTGTTTGCGTACCCATTTATCTACCACAACTTCACGAGGACTTCACTGCATGATCATTTCAGCTTCTCAAAATTTTGCTTTTACATGCATAGCGGTTGCCTACTATCATGTCACACCCTCATAGACCTGTACCCATCCGCACTAATAGTAGGACATACCATGATCGGTGCCGGAAGACAGAATCCAAAACGTGCACATCTGCGAGTAAGCCTTCTGTGAACCGCTACAGGATTCCGCATTGGGATAGTAATCGTACATAGTATGTTTGTATCTGGGATTTTGCTGAGCCGTCAAAGGTCCTGGCTTCACCTCAACGAGTCCTCTCCCATGCAGGCTCGTGCAAAACCCTCGAAGCTCGTTGGGTTAGTGGCATCTTAGAGTGCTGAGTACGTGGTTGGTGAGCGTTCTCATCTCCTTGGGGCCCCGCAATCTCTACACATACGGTATGCTGCAAGCTGTCAGCACCACAATACTTCGTGCAGTACTTGGTTTGGAAGGTAGTCGTTTCGGTGCACTCACATTTGGCGTACTGTTGTTTGTATTTGATGCTTTGAAAGGTTGGGCATGCTGCATTGAGGCTTTGGAAGCCAAGGAAGACGTAGGAGTGATGATTTCTTGCTATGCAGGATTTTTCTGGAGAGGACCGGCAAAGACAACATCAGTGTAGGCATTATGCTGTACACCAAGCTCCTTCAATTGGAGTGGAACCATAAACATTTCACAAGAAGCCCGAAGTCCCAAAGTATTTGCATGACAGACCTTCTGAAGACAGCAGGGTGACCCTCGAGCAATGCATCCAGCTTCTTAGAGCTTTAGTAGGCCTAAACTTAGTTGCTGCTTGCGCGAGCTATGGCCATGAGTTGGGCAGTCGCAAGCAGACCTGTGGACATCGGGGTTCCGAATGAATGGCGTATTCACCCGAATACCCGGGGCTTCATTCGGATGTCCGCAGCACCAGTGTATTTCAGTGCAGATGCTCCAGCCAGATCGGGGGCGGTGCTTGTGGCCTTGTGGCTGGCTTTTCGTGGAGGGGCTCAGAGGGGACGGACCCGTTTCTGGGGGTTGAACTTTCAACAGGAGCAGGTTGTAAAGGCCCCGCCAGGTGCGCACCTGGTCGTAGCTGGTGCTGGAACCGGAAAGACCAAGGTGTTGACTGAGCGATTGGTCCATTTGTTGAAGGAAGGTGTGGAGCCCAGCAGGGTTGTGCTCCTGACTTTCACTCGCAAAGCCGCTGAGGAAATGAAGTTTAGAGCAGAGTCGCTTATGGGACATGGTATTGGCCGCGGGTTGAGATCTGGAACATTTCATGGCTTCTGCCTTGATCTGCTTTCAAGATACACAACTCGACTCGGGTTCCTCGAGGGCCTGACAGTGCTGGATGTGGATGATGCCACGGACATGGTTCAGCAGATCCGCCGAGGCCTGGGCCTGGCCGGTAGCTGGGTTGCTGTTAAGAAACTTAAGTTAAGTTACCATCATGGGTATATATATAGTAAATAATAGGGTTTCCCCAATATAGTAACCTTAATTTAAGTTCCTTAACAGCAACCCAGGTAGGAAGCAAGCCTTTCCGAGCGCTGGCGAGCTCTTCCGCCTCTTCTCCCGGAGCGTGAACTCTGGCACCCCACTGACAGAGTTGTCGCTGAGGGGCAAATACTACGATCACCTAGATGGCATAGGGGCTGTGTGGGAAGCCTTTGAGGAAGCGAAGCAACGCCAAAACTGCATGGACTTCAATGATCTGCTGCTGCGGTGCGACAAGCTACTGCGAGAAGATGAGCAAGTGCGCTTGGTTGAAGCTGGGGCCTGTGAGCATCTGCTTGTGGATGAGTATCAAGACACCAATCCTCTCCAGGCTTCGCTGGTGCAGCAGCTGAGCTCTGTGCACGGCAACGTCGTTGCCGTGGGCGATGATGCCCAGAGCATATACGGCTTCCGTGGAGCGAGCGTAGAGAACATGTGGCAATTTGTTGATACGTTCGACAGCGGTGAACCTCTTTTCCTTGAGGACAACTACCGCAGTACACAGCCAATCTTGGATTTGGCCAATGCCGTTCTCAGTGGGTCAACAATCCACTACAGCAGCTAGACTAGAAGGCTTAAGGGAAGCCGGGTAGTTCCCAATGAGCTAGCGTCTATGCACCCAAGTTCCAATTCTAAGTGTCTTTACCTCGGCGCCTGAGATTCCACTGACAAAAGGTAAAGAACTGCGCTCTGACGTCGGGACGGGTCTAAAGCCACAGCTGCTGAAGTTCGACTCCCATTTCAGCGAGGCCGCGTGGGCCGCTCGGATTCATTCAAGAATTCGTCTCCAGGCTGCTAGACCCTCGTCACGTGTTCAGATCTTTGAGTCGCAACCTGCTGGGCAGCAATGTCAGACTGACAGAAGAGTAGGTTGTTTGCTTTCAGCGGGGCACCCACCCTCAGGCAAACGTGATACAGTAAGTTTGTGTATAACAACAGCTTGACTTGCAGCCAGGTTGCAGCAGAAATCCAGAACCTGCACAGACAGGGTGTGCCTCTCAAGTGCCTGGGAAGACAATAGCAATCATTGCATTAGGAGCAGCTGGAGGATGGACAAGGGCAAGGTTCGTATAAGCAAAACTTGTGGCAGTGACATGTTGTAACTTTCAGAAGCGTGCCTGCTCAGCAGCCCGGACCGAAAGGTTTGACCAGAACAGTGGAGTTCGAGTTCCAAAGTGCTTAACTCCCCAGCCTGAAAGCACATGGAGTTTCCGCATTGCCAGCTCTTCCTGTTTGAGCACGTCGTCCCCCATCCCCCCTGACTAATGTCACTACTTGACAGCTATATTGGAAAAAAGTGCGGATATTTGGGGAGCGAGCGGGTTGAGCGTTCGGGGTCTCACTCACGAAGTGTTCTGGGACCTGCCGTGAAGCGAGATTGGAAATATGATGATGTCAAGTCTTAGCCTAATTCAAGATCTCCTTCTGGTGATTCGCTGCTGAATCTGAAGCCCTCCGAGCCAGCCCAGGAACATAGCTGTGCTGTATCGCACGAATCGAACCTGCAACCCGCTGGAAACACAGCTGCTTGGCTTGGCACCCAGCTTGGCCCTGAAAAACCCTTTTGCGTCAAGGAAGTGTTGTATATGCTGTCAGGGCACTGTTTTTGTGTTGATCATTTGGAAGGTAGTTGTGAACGCTGTCATAGGCTTAGTTGTTGTGTTTTTTCTTGTCACCGAGCTTCTTAGGCTTCTTCAAGGCGGTATCAACTACCGCACATCCGGACAGAGAATTTCTTCTCGAAGTCATGTGAAGGACGTGTTCGCTGCGCTTTCCGTGCACCTCAATCCCTTGGATTTGGTGAGCTGGACCAGGGTGCTGAAATTGTTCACGGGACTTGGTGAGATAACGGCGCGAAAGGTTGTGAATAAGATAAAGACGCATGTTCCTCCACAGCTGGACGCAAAGCATTGGGAAGGCAAGAAGTTCTATCCAGATCTTTGCAACTGGGTGGCTGTTGCAAGCATCCTTCAGGAATTCCACATTTTTCTGGCCAAGGGCGACGGATCATACTCTTTGGGGAATGTCTAAACCGTGACACGAAACCAGCCAAATTAAATGCCTGTGCATCCTTTGTCCGGGCGGTTTCAGCCGTGACTCTAGATCCTAACCTATAATATACTACAGTAGTTTCCATTTTGATTCCATTATTTCTATATAACCCCTACATGATATACTATGGTAGTTTCCAGTGTCTTTTTCATTATTCCTATATAGCACCCAACATGACCCTAACATAAATCCAATATACTATAGTATATATTCTTCAGTGTACAACAAGGTGAACTGCAGCAGCTCATGTCCGAACTCAGCGCCCAATCTGACCCTGCAGCCTGCCTGGAGCTCACTCGATTGCAGCTGGTCCTGATGGTGGATCCCCTTTCTTTGCTAGTTTTGGAATTTTAAAGTCAGTGTTTCGCGGCCTATGTACGGAGTGTATAAGGCCTTTTTTAGAGTGAAGAGGATTACCCAAGTGTTTGCATAAACACCTGTGCACCTCCGTTTCAGAGGGTTCTGGATCAAGTGAAAGAGGACCAAGGTGGTATACGAAGTACCTGACAGACAAGCATGAGAACCGCAAGGAGCGAATGGAGGACTTGCTTGCGTGCCTCGGCCCGTGTTGCAGGAGGGGATTTCTTGGAAGCCCCAAAGCACCAGACGGCAAGACTTCAAAGCCGTACAAGTAGCACAGAACCGAATGTTTAATTTTGACCAACATTTAAGCTTTGGATAGGCCCTACCCTAGAGGCCTCTATGCTTAAACTCAAGCCATAAATTCCCATAAACACTACACCCCAGAGCCTCAACCCTGCAGAACCGCAGTCTAAGGCTGAAGGATGCTGCTGGCGGTTTCAGCTGCCTTCAAGACCTGGTGAATGCTTTCCGTCTGGACGGCGGCTTGCTGAAAAGAAGAGGCCCGCCCAAAAGGATGGTAGGGTATTAGAGCCTTAGACTCTGGAAGAGTGTTAAGTTAAGGGCTGGAGGGTATATAGAGATCTCGTGTTATTAATTTCTGCTCACAGTTCGTAAAAGATTGTGATGGGGCTCACACGTAGCGATTTCGGCATGTTCGGGACCCTCTGCTTGGTGACTACCTTATCAGACGCGGCTTTTGATTTTTTGTGGTACGCCAGTGCATCTCATGGTTGGGAACTGTCTACGCAACCGAGTATCTAGCACTTGAAGGTGGATTTTGCAAAGAGGGCAATGTGGCACAGCGCCATGAAAGCATGCTGCAAGGGATAATGGTTGCTATGTAGAGACGATGGAAGGCCTGCAGGGCGGCTTGTCGGGTGTGTGTGCGGGGACACGCGGGGACTGGGTTGGGCTAGTGACGGCTAGCGTGTAGGCTGCAGGATGTGGATGCCTTCCCTTGGGTTTTGCGAGCTGCAGAGGGAGGCCCTCTTTGAGACATAGTCCCTTCTAGATATTCCAGAAGGGCGCTTTCTCTTGGACCGCAGATGTAGTCCTTACCTGTTGCTTGCATGTTTCACCACTTCCCCTTCCCCGTCACCTGGCCTCACGAAAGCTTGCTTTCGGGTCTAGCTTGAGTTTCTTATCAAGCGTCAGCTTGCAACAAGCGGTGTGGGGGGTGGGAGCTGTGGGTGGTCAGTTTTTTGTGGGGTTTTCAGCCAGGCTGCAGGGCAGGGATGCTTTCGGGCGTGGGTCGTCAGGGCCGTTTTCCGACCCGTAAAGAGCGTAAAGAACACCGTATCCGACCCTTAAAGAACACTATTTTTGCTCAAAAGAATGGATAAAAGGGTGTGAAAGAACACGTTACCAGTGCCTCACGGGCAAGAAGGTACATGGTCGACCCATTGCATGAGCCCTGGACAAGGTTCGTTCAAGCTTCCTGGCCTTCATCCAAGCCCCCCTGTGTTTGAGCATAAGTACATACTGCATCTGCTAGAGTAACAGCTGGATTAGATGGTGTAGGTACTATGCAAATACTACAGACACCTACATTTATAATGCATACTATTTGAGTCCCACACAATTTGGTGTCAATCGCGCGTTTGTGCCTTGCCTTCCTCTTTCCCAGTAAAAAAAGGAGAGGGTGGGTATTTGCATTCCGCCAGTTAGATCTTGCTCTGGCTTTCGTCCCAGTCCCTCTCGCCCAAGTTCTCACTCCACCACTGAGCGTTACCTAAGCAGACCAGGGAAGGAGGATACCGATACGGTCACTCTCTCAACCGTGCACAGTGCGAAAGGCTTGGAGTGGCTGGGTCATGATTGAGCAGAATATAGGGTCTTCTTGGACTGGCGTCGATGCAAGAAGCTTCTTGGGGCTTCTTTCCAGATCTTGTGCAATCCAAACATTACAAGGCTGCTCTGGAACTCAGCGGATGCAGGGTACAACAGGAGCAAAACAACGTGCTCAAAGTCTGTATTTTGGCCACAAACCTCCGCTAGCTCAGGTGGGACGTGGTGTTTATCCTGGGTGTTGGCACAAAGCACCTCGGCCAGAAGTAGAACACTTTGACAGTGTTCTTTCTGTGCCAGTTTCATTTAGAAGGCATCCTGTTTTGCGTGAACTTTGCTAAGGCTGCTGGGGTACATCTCTTGGGGCCCAGGTAGAACACTATGGCCCAAAGCTTACGCTTACTTACACTTACACATCTGCTGCATGTGATCCAGGTTCGACTGGGGGGCATTTCACCTTGAAGCAATGGAAGAACTTCGTCGGGTCATGTACGTGTCCATTACGCGGGCAAAAGAAAAATTGTACCTGACTTGCCCTGACGGAAGCCTGTCGCAAGTACTAGCTGCTATGCCACAACTGGAAAGTCTTGTGGACTCCCCTCCACGAGCTAGACGGGCTGGCTCAAATGGGAAGACGCGTCCGCCCATAACACTGCGGCCGTCTAGAGGAAAGTTTGCTCACAAGGCAAGCACGGCTGTCCACCCTTGAGATTTGAACTGATCACTGGAAGGCCTGCTCAGATTTCCGTGTCGGGGCGGGGCGGGGAAGACGGACGTCCTGTCAAGGAATCATATGGAAGTTCGAGAGTTTGCTAGGGTGTCTCAAGCTCTGGCGTCCGTGTTTCAGCGCATTACACCAGGGATCCCAATACTCCAGCCCATAGGGGTGACCCCCATTTGGGACATGTTAGTGCAATCGCGCGAGTGGATGTGTCAGAAGCACAAGATCTGCTGCACCTCTGTGAATGTTTGGCCGCTGAACCATTGCTGGATGAGACGAACGCAGTCTGTTGAATGATGGTTTTTGTTATTTATCAGAAGACTGGTTTTTCAATCGAGCCCAGATGCTGATCCAGACAGCGAACAGTTGCTCGACGTTTCGGGTAAAATCGCCTGACTGCCGTGCGGAGACAAAATGAGCCGGTAAACTTCTTCAGACCACAATCTGTAAAAGGCAAACGGCAAGAAGCCTTGTGACGCAGGTCCTGTGGGTACTCCTGTTACTCAACTGCGAGCGGCTCCTACGCGCGGCCACAGCATGCAGGCTTTATGGGGAGTCCCAGCGAAGCTTTCTTCAACGGACCATGAGCAATCTTCATGTAGCACCAAGATAGAATAATGAAAATTGTCATGCTAAGGCAAACTCGATTGCTCTTCGTCATGGGGACGGGATACTGGGGACGGACTGATACTGGGTAGGCCACAGCAATTTTTTCGGATGAGTTGCAGAGGCATGATACTGTTTCCAACTTACCCTGTAGGCAACAATCCCTGTTGCCTGCATCAAGCTGTATTCAGAGCATAAAGGCCTGAACTACGACTAGCAGAAGCAGTACCACTTGAGTCCAGGAAGCTCCGTGAGAAGATCTGGTAGAACCCTATATATCCCCTATACACCCCTTATATAACCCCTATCCCTAAGGGACCCCTAATTTTAGGAAGCCCGAGTATGATCAGCTGGCGAGGTGCCCCCAGGTGCTGCCTGGATGCCCACCTCGCCGCTGCAGCCATCGCAAGTCTACCGGAACCTTCCGCCAGGCTCAAAAATTGGTTTCCTTCAAGTACCTGTTACGGATGGGGTGCATGTCTACCTGGGTCGCTCGGGCAACAGCATTTCTGTTACGTCTGTGCTTCAAATCGGCTGTCTGGGGGACTGTTGCATTCGCGATGAAGTGATTTGCAGTACTGCTTCATTATTGGTTGCTGCTGCTGCTGCTGCTGCTGCTGCTGCCGCTGCCGCTGCTGCGCTGCTGCCGCTGCTGCTGCAACTGTTGCAGCAGCTCTCTTGCTCGTATGTACTGGTATTTTGTCTTTGCTCCTTGTTCTTCCGTTGTCGCGTGTAGTCTGCCTATCCATTTCCCGCAGGTCCCTGCCCAGCTGCGGGCTCTGTAGTGCCATCACGGATTGGTCATGCATGACAATCCGGCCATCATTGCCTCCAGAACTTCCCAAAGAGTTCATTGTACCTGTGTATTACACCCAGACGGGTTCCGCTATAACCACTTTAGGCCCCAAATATGTACCATATAGCTACATGGACCTTTTGGTTTTATGCACTCAGGCGATCTTTTTCAAGTCTCAACCCCCCCTTTCCCGTAGTCTGGTTTAGGGTGCAGGGTTTAGTGTTCAGGTTTTAGCATACCTCTGCAAATAGTTGAAAAGAGAATTCCGGAGGCAATTCGACACCTCAGCTGGTTGCCTCTGCCTGGGACACGGTCCACATCCGTTTTAGAAAGCATCCGATGGCCAGTTGCCGACGCTCATGACTGTTCGGGAAATTTCCCTTGAGTTGAAATCATCTTTGGAGGACGCTGCGTAATCCATTGCATGTTGCCCTTCTTCGCCAAACAAGTTGCATGGACAGAAAGCACTTTGCACCATTCCCACTGTAGCGCCTACCCGGACAGGTGGGGTTTCCGGATGCATTGCGCTAGTTTGTGGGTGCTTCTACATGTGCATGATCCAGTAGCTCGAGCCGCGTGGTTTTCTTTTTTGGAGGCCCCCTGAGAAATTCAGGTGTAAACACCCAAGGGTTCAACTTCAACCAGCAGTGTTAAACTCCGTGGCAGCATTGCCTGGCCCAAAACGCTTGAAAACCAGGCGGGCCCGCAAACCTTTGCCCTTTCTAAGCTAGTCTTATCCGTTGTCAGCATGGTATAAGAGAATGTAATCCGGACATAATCTGAATATACAAATCCCCATGTAATATATTCGCTCATTCCCTACTAACCCCAAGTAAGTCTCTCAGCTAGAAGAGCTCTAAACCCTATATAACCCCCATTATGGTAGTTTCCATTCTATTTTCCACTATCCCAATATAAGCCCCAACGTAAAAATGTAGTTTCCATCTATTTTCCATGATCCCCATATAACCCCAATATCAAATAGTAGTTTCCATCTTCTTTTCCACTATCCCAATATAACCCCCATATCAAATAGTAGTTTCCATTTTCTTTGCCACTATCCCCTTATAACCCCGATATAAAATAGTAGTTTCCATTCTATTTTCCATTATCCCCATATAACCCCGATATAAAATAGTAGTTTCCATTTTCTTTTTCATTACCCCAAGCCTTCTCACCCTAAACCCTAAACCCTGCACCCCAAACCCTAAACCCTAAACCCCAAATCCCTAGAAGAGCTCAAGGTTCTGGCCACCCCTCGCCGCGAGAATTCCGCAAGCCCCTGGCGCCAGAGGCCAAGCGAGGCACACGGCTCCCGGGCCCGCCTTTGAAGGTTTAGGATTTTGGGTTTAGGGTTTAGGGTTCAGGGGTATAGGGTTTAGGGTTTAGGGTTTAGGGGTGAATAGGGTTTAGGGTTTAGGGATGTTTTTCCCAATAATGGAAAATCAAATGGAAAAGAACATGGAGAATGGAACGGAACTTAGGGAGTGAGCTATAGTCTGCACTCCTTGAAAGGGGTTATGTAGGGGATTTAATGGGGGAGTATTAGAGGGGTTATTAAGTGGATACAAGGAGTTTAGACTATGGGCTATATGGGGATGATATACAGGGCATTATAAAGACTTACAGGGATCTATGTAGGGCTTCGGGGTTTCCCAAAACTATGGGTAACTGGGGACGAGGTGTCATTCTAAGAGTGTTTGCAGGGACTAGAGAGGTGGGGTTCAGGGTGGAAGCCTAAACACTTTCCAATCAACGGCGAATGAAATGGAACCTCCAATGGAAGGTGATGTAGCGGCCAGACGAGTTATCACAACTATCTTAACTTGCTTGGAGATTGTAGGGTAGTTTCTTCGTGTAGGTGTACAAAACTGAAAGTCGTATAGCGGCAGGTATGGGTTTGCAAGGGGAGCCCCCAACTCTGTTTCCGAGGCCTGAAGTGTTTTGCCAAGCTGGCACCGTTAAAGAATGCAGTGAATGCAACAATGATGGCACCGTTGTCCTGGGCTCTTGAAGACCCAGTTCGTTTTTTCATTCTGTCCTACACCATTGCATATGTGTCGGGACTCAATCCTTAAATCCTTGAACATGATCTGTCGCATCATGTTGCCTTATCAGATCTTGCCAGCAATGCGGGGATATATGGACTTCTGCCATACGTACATTCACGCACAAGACATAATCCACTTCAATTCTTCCTTCCATGCTCCCTACATGTAGATCACGAGGACCTCTGGGTAGCCCCATCCCCTACAATCAGGACATTGATCTAATAGTCTTAGTGCTGGGGTCCTTACTTTGGGGGTTGGGAAAATCAGTAGCCGGTGCAGGTGTTCGCGCGGCCAGCAGGCCAACGGTGGTGTTGATGGAGTCATTTTTGTTCAAGCTGTTTTTTTTCAGGCTTTTTTGAGGATTCAGGGCAGAACACTGCTAGGTCTTTGAGCACTTTGGGTCTCTTCTTTTGGGAACAACGGAGGAGCTATATTTATATAAGAAATAGCAGGAGATGAACTATTCAGACCTTTTACAGACATGCTTCTGAAAGCCACCAGTCATTTTGTACGGTCCCCTGCTCAAACCATGATACTGCTTGGGGTAGATAGGGAGTCCAAATCGACAATGATTGAGAGAGGGAGGTCTACGTACTTTCGCTGGGCGCATTTTGTGTTTCCTAGGGTCCAACCACGACGAGAGCTACCATGACGGCAACCCCGACCCCCTGAAACAATCCGCAGAAGTATTGTAGAAGGGAGCAGACAAAACATTGAAAGCAATGGATAGCTCTTGTAAATGAAGGGAATCGGAGAGAACGGGTAACACATTTGCACAATAACAGCGCAAATCATCCATCCTGAATTCATCCTGCATCCAGATTTGAGCCGGATTGTGATTACCTTCGGCCAGGTGCGGACAGCTTCTGACAAGCCCAGAGTCAAGACATTCAAGCCATTGTCCCCTCCTCTGCAGCCGCATGAGCTTGAAACCCCAAAGGCCCCAGATCTTGAGCAAGAGCTTCCTTCACTAATCTTCCCTGCTTGTTGAGGCATCCCAAATCACATCATCACGCCTCGTGCTTTCGGTGCCCACATGGCACCAGCAGCCTGGGCCCAAGGCAGTGAGACTCTTGAAACATTTGACTGCAGCTACAGGTCCTGGGATAGGAACTGCGAATTTCATCATCCTGTCTTCGAACCGTGTGACTTCCTTTTGTGTAAAGTGGTGGAATGGCCTGCTCAGGTGCACATCGTGAACTAGGGGTGAGCTCTGCCAATGTGCATGCACCCAGCTGGGAAAGGCACAGGATTGGATGTGCCTGTAGGTGCCAGTTGGTTGCATTGCAAGCTCGCCTCAATGTGTCAGGCAATATCGAAGAACGCTTGCTTTATTTCTGGAATGGACCCCTTCGTACCACAGAAAGACGTTTCAGTCAACTGCTGAGCATGCTGAGCAGAGCATCTTAGCCTTTCTGAGGGTGTCTGTGGCTGAGAGGGAAGGGGTCTGCAGTGAATACTGGACCGAAGCGGAATGCTATCTGGTCGCTTTGCAACTGGGGACCCGTGACAGGAAGGTCCTTTTTGAAGCTTTTTCACCTTTAGCAGTCAATAGAGCATTGCTTGACATCATAGTCTGGGGGCTGCGATTGTTTTGGTATTTTGTGCAGCTTGAGGTGACCGACAGAAGCATAGGCACCCTTCATGCCGCCCCCGGACCTGGCTATTCTGCTTTGGGCTTTGGGCGAACGGACTCGGGGACGCAGCAGAGGTCGCGCAGTCGCCGACCTGCTGCGATTTGGCCTGGAAGGAGTTAGGATCTTTGTGTTAGAACCTTCATGAAACCACTTCAAACTAGCATAGTCAATGCAATCCACTGCCTTTGCCTGTAACAGAGTGCCACTTACCCCCAAAGCAAGTCCTGAGCCCCAAAGCTCCCTAGAATGCTGTCACCTGTGCTCAGATGCTACACTGCAGCCAGGTTGGTTCAGAATCTTCCAGCATCTAACAAGAGAGATGAGTGGAGTTTCCCAAAAGTGCCAAAAACTGCATTTGTTCGGAAAAGGCCAAGACCATGTTTTGGGAAACTCCACCATCCAGCCTGTAGGGACCAACCTGCTAGAGCACGGCTTCAGGTTTCGAATCCGGAACCGCTGGTGACGTAATAGGCATGGTCTAGTTCTCAATCTCAAAGCATGCCGGCAGCGAGGCTTGCAAAAGCTGGGGTGGATTCAGTGAAGAACTGCTTACGGTTGAAGCCTTAAAAACTCTCAGATCAAGGCAATGATTCAATGCCTCAAAAGCCTCACAATTCCTGTGAGCTTCGAGGTGCAGAGGCTTGCGCCTTTGCATTACCCCTTCCTAAAGTATCTGGATTGCTCCTGAGTGGCCTGGACAACCTTTGGACACTTACCCTGCCTCCGAACAGTTTAGCGTAAGCCTTAGCCCGCTGACCATCACCAAGTTTGCCAAGTCCCCGATCCTCAGCCTCCCATGCGCAGGCCCACCTCAGCGCCCCCCTGTACAAAAACTGTGAAGGGGGAGGTCGGAGCAGGGAACTTGCAGATGCCCGGGTTCTGGAAGGGTCAAGCAGGGATGTGATGAGGCTTTGCAGGATCAAGTTTTGTTGTCTTCCTCTCTTGTTGTGCTCTTGCCAGTTACGATCATGTTGGCTTTTGCTTTCCTGTCTCTTCCTGGTGGCCCGTTCCCTGTCTTGTGTCGCGTCCTCGCGTTGCACCCTCGAGTTCCGTCCTCGCGTTGCGTCCTTATGTTGAGTCTTCGTGCAGGTTTCCTAGTTGTGTCTACACTCCTTATCACAACCCGTGTCAAGTTATGTCGAGTCATTGGGTTTCGCCTTGAACGCTGCGAATTCAGTGGTGGACCTGTAATAAGTTCCGATTGAAGCTCATAGAATTCCGTAAGCATGGTCGTAGGGTGCTGCAAAGCACGGTGCAAGTATTAGCGGCAGCTTTCCAGGTAGAGACGATCAAGAGTCTGCTGTTATACTTGTCGGCAAACAGCACATCCGACGTTTCCTCCAAGATTCCGCTTCTAATTTCTGGTCTTAAGTATTTGTTGTGATCCCGAATCTGTCAAAGGCGGATGCATCAACGTGCTTTTCATGCTCTTTGAGCCCACATATAGAGAACAATGCCGTTGCCCTCCAACCTGAACATCAAGTCCTCGAGCTTGCGCTGTGGAGGACACGATCAAGGCTCAAAGATTGGCGGTCAAGCTGCCAATCCAAGCCTCCACGAAACCCAGACTCCATGCCCTGCAGTTTGATATGGTTACGATTATTAATGAATATCAATGATATTTTTGTTTACATTTCTGTTAGTACTTTGTTGTTAATATTTCCATTACAACAACCACAGCAACAACAACAGCAACTACTACTGCTGCTGCTACTGCTGCTACTATTACTACTATAACTACTACTACTACTGCTGCTGCTGCTGCTACTGCTGCTACTACTACTACTACTACTAGTAGTAGTAGTAGCCGCCCCCCC